GGAGCAGAACAGGCAGATCGACAAAGTACACTGCTGAGGGGAGCAGCGGGCGGGCCAGGAGAGGTCTGCCACGCCATGTGGTCATCTCCGGGGCTGGGGATCCAACTCATGCTTTAGTGGCTTTAGCTTCTTAGTGCCTCAAAAGTTTTTTTTTTTTTTAAGATTTATTTATTTATGCTTATAGAACTGGGGTACAGGCCAGAGGTGTGGTAGGCAAGAGGATTCACCAGAGGCAAAGTGGGGAGCAGAACAGGCAGACCGACAAAGTACACTGCTATGGGTAGCAGGGAGCGAGTGGGAGGAGGTCTGCTGTGCCATGTGGGGTCATCGCCATGTGGGTCACCTCCTGGGCAGGGACTGAACTCATACTGCAGTGGCTTTGGAGAGCTTCATAATGCCGTGATTTAATCCACTGCACCACCAGGGAGAGCCCGAGAGGAAAAGTTTTTAAAAGCTTCAAGCATAATACTAACATTCCTCACAAGAATGTTATTTGCATAAAGCAAGATGAGGTACTGAAATTGATATCTACTGTTAATATAATGAACATTTTATAGCACAATTACTAATATTCATCGTAAATATTTCCCTCTATTTCCTATTCTGCAGAGAGCTCCTTACACCAGACTTTTTTAGGGATCAGTCAAACTCCTGAGCCCTACGATTTCAATCAGATTGTCAAGATGAGCCTAATTAAAAGTTGTTCATTAAATAAGAATTACAGATCAGGACATTTACTGCCTAGGAAATAAAATATTTTTTTCAGGATAAATGTAGGCAAGGAAGCAACAGCCCAAGGCAGCTCAGAAAAAGCCCACGGTGAGAAGAGGCCCAAGGACAGAACGGGGGCACCAACATCTAAGAGACATTAGAAAAGAAACCATCAGCTGACCTTGACAGCAGAGCTGAAAGTGGCTGAGGCTGTGGGGGTAGTCAGAGCAATTCCCACCACCTCAGGCAACTGAGAGAAACCAGAGAATGACTTTTACCTTCTAAATATCAAACTAAATAATGTAAGGCTATTATTTGACATTTCAA